ATAACAACTATGTTATAATAAAAAACTGCGGTTGCCGCTCGCCAAGCGTGGCAACTATGGCAAATATCCCCCCCACGAATAATGACGCAAAAAAACGGCCCCCAGTCCCCGGCGGCCCCGCTATTCCTGGATACGGTGGCGACCATGGTAACGGCGGGGCAGGGGGTGCTAAGAATCTCCGGTGGAGGTTCGGTTGCCACCTACGACGACTCGACCTGGCAACATATAACGCACGCACTCTGAGGACTGACGAAAAGATACTGGAGCTGGAAGAAGAGGTAGACAAGTTGCGCTGGAGTATTATAGGATTATCCGAGGTCCGAAGAGAGGGGGAGGATACGGCAATCCTTGAGTCCGGCAACTTGTTCTACCACCGGGAGGGCGACCATCTGTCCCAAGGAGGTGTCGGATTTATCATTCACAAGTCTCTCGTCAACAACGTTGTAAAGATTGGGAGTGTGTCGAGGAGGGTCGCGTACCTGATACTCAGAATCACCAAACGGTATTCGCTGAAGGTCATACTGGTTTACGCACCAACCTCGGCACATCCCGATGAGGAGGTGGAGGAAATGTATGAGGATATTTTCAGAGCCATGCATTCCTCCAAAACCCACTACACGGTGTTGATGGGAAACTTCAACGCAAAACTAGGCACAAGAGAAAGCGGTGAGCTGAAGGTGGGGAAATTTGGAGTAGGGCAAGGGAACCGAAGGGGCCAGCGGCTGGCCGACTTTATGGAGAAACAGGGACTCCTTATGATGAACTCTTTCTTCCAGAAGCGGCCCCACAGGAAGTGGACCTGGTCGAGCCCCGACGGTTCGACAAAAAATGAGATTGACTTCATTATGACGACCAGACGCCAACTGTTCAGTGATGTCTCAGTGATCGCAAGGGTGAAAACCGGCAGCGATCACCGAATGGTTAGAGGCACACTGAACCTAAATGTTAAGTTGGAGAGGTCTCGTCTAATGAAGTCAACGCTCCGTCCCCCTCGTGCTCTGATCCAGAATCCCGAAACCTTTCAGCTCGAGTTACAAAACCACTTTCAGTGCCTAGAGGATTGCAATGCAGTGGACGATATGAATGACAAGCTCGTAGAAACTGTCCATGCGGTCGGAGCTAAGTTCTGCAAGACCCGCCGCAAAAGAACACAAAAACTCACCGATCACACTCTTAATCTCATGGCTGTTAGACGGGAGATGAGGCTGCAATCGTCAACAGATTTGACAGCATACAGGCAACTGAACAGACAGATCTCCAAATGCATGCGGCAAGACTTACGCAACTTTAATACTGCTCGTATTAAAGAAGCGATCGAGCGGAACCAGGGCTCCAAAGTCTTTGCCAGAGATCTGTCTGCCAGAAAGAGCCAACTGTCAAGGCTGAAGACTGAGTGTGGCAACATCGTTTCCGGGACACCTGAGATTCTGAGTGAGATTGAGAGGTTCTATGGGCAGCTGTACACATCATCGTTGGAGCCACACGCAAGTGTGAGTAACGATCCAAGAGCAAGTCTTATCCGACACTATTCCGATGATATCCCGGACGTCAGTCTGAGCGAGATTAGAATGGCACTCCACCACCTTAAAAACGGCAAGGCCCCGGGCGAGGATGGAATTACAGCGGAGCTTCTGAAAGCGGGTGGAACACCGGTACTTGAATTCCTTCAGAAGCTCTTCAATTCCGTCCTCCATGGTGGCACTACTCCGGAGGCGTGGAGCAGAAGCTCGGTGGTCTTGTTCTTTAAGAAAGGCAACAACGCTGTCTTGAAGAACTACAGACCGATTTCCCTTCTGAGCCGCGTTTACGTGCTGTTATCGAGAGTCATTACGAATCGTCTCGCACGCAGACTCGACGACTTCCAGCCTCCCGAACAAGCCGGTTTCCGAAAAGGCTTCAGTACCATAGACCACATACATACCCTTCGGCAAATTGTACAGAAGTCCGAAGAGTACAATCTGCCACTTTGCCTGGCGTATGTGGACTATGAGAAAGCCTTTGATTCCGTCGAAATTTGGGCGGTGCTACAGTCTCTTCAGCGGTGCCTAGTTGACTGTCGGTATATCGAAGTGCTGAAGTGTTTGTACAGTAGGGCTACGATGGCTATCCGAGTACAGAACCAGAGTACGAAACCTATCCAACTGCAGAGAAGTGTAAGACAGGGTGATGTTATATCCCCGAAACTCTTCACCGCTGCGTTGGAAGACGTTTTCAAGCTACTGGACTGGAAAGGATACGGTATTAACATCAATGGCGAGTACATCACTCACCTTCGATTTGCCGACGATATAGTCCTTATGGCAGAATCGCTGGAGGACCTTAGCACTATGCTCAATGACCTCAATGGTGTCTCCTAACGGATAGGTCTTAAGATGAACATGAACAAAACAAAAATCATGTTTAATGTCCATGTCACACCTATGCCGGTAGTTGTTGGGAGCACTATGCTCGAAGTTGTTGACGAGTACGTTTACCTGGGACAAACAGTCCGACTAGGTAAGTCCAAGTTCGACCGAGAGGTCAATCGACGGATTCAACTCGACTGGGCAGCGTTCGGGAAATTACGACACATCTTCTCGTCAGGTATACCTCAATCTCTGAAAACTAAAGTGTATAACCAGTGCGTGTTGGCAGTGATGACCTACGGGACCGAGACGTGGTTCTTCACTGCTGGCCGTATGAGAACGCTCAAAGTCGCTCAGCAAGCTATGGAGAGGGCTATGCTCGGAGTTTCTCTGCGTGATAGACTCAGAAATGAGGATATCCGCAGTAAAACCAGAGTGACCGACATAGCCCAACGGATTAGTAAGCTGAAGTGGCAATGGGCCGGCCATATAGCTCGAAGAACCGATAACCGATGGGGAAGAAAGGTTCTCGAGTGGCAGCCTCGTACCGGTAGGCGTAGTGTAGGGCGACCCCCCACTAGATGGAGTGACGACCTGGTAAGATATGCAGGAAGTCGATGGATGCAGGTGGCTTAGGACCGTGGTTTGTTTCATTACTTGGGGGAGGCCTATGTTCAGCAGTGGACTTGTGAAGGGCTGTAATGATGATGATGATGATGATTTTTTCTGTAATATGCTACTTACTTACATAAATCATGCAAGTTGTAAAATTATTGGTATCAATAACAAAAGATATCGGCCCTTCTTTTGTTTTCATAGTGACTATTACCGACCGGCTCTTTTTGTTCAGATCACCATCTGCATTCTTATCTTTTTTCCTATTTACCGACAGTTTAAGATCTTATCTGTATTAAACCACAATCTGAAATAGGTCATTAGCCAAAATTAAATCATAAATCATACCGAAAAATTGTATATGGTCGGCGACCAAAACAGAGGTATCGGCACTTTTGTCTGTTTTCAAAGTGACGAATGCCGATCTGCTCTTTTTATGTAGATCATTATCTGCATTCTTATCTTGCTTCCTAGTTACCGACAGTATATTGCCTTATCTACAAGGTGTTACAAAAAAGCAGGTAATCCTCTTAGGAAGTGATTCCATTGCTCAAAAACTACAACTTTTATGGGACCTATATCGAATTTCAAAAAAAAATCTCCACCCAATCTCGTCTCAGCTGATCGGCCGCTTAGTATGGGAGAAGCCTTCTTTTTTTTGAAATTTCGATGTAGGACGGGACGTTATGTACGACGGGATTAGTGCACGCAATTGAGGGAGAGCGGGAGGTGCTCTTAAATCTAAGTAAGAAACATCATTGTATTTAATTAGCGGATGGTTGCAACATATCTATTAATATCTTTATTACTTTATTTGTTATTATTTCTACTAAAATTATAGGCTCTTATTAAAATTTTAACAAAAGGTTTGTTAATTCTAAATACGCGTACCGCCCGCCCATGGGCGGGGTCGGCATGATAGGTCAAAATTGTCCTTTACTAAAATCTTAGATATACACAGGCCGTTTTGTTAACGAATCAATCAAAATAACACGAGTTATTCGACAAAATCTCATAATTTTTCATGTTATTTGGCAGACTTATTAAGGTTTGAAAGCCGCCTGTCCATGGCCAGGCTCGGCATGTCAATAAAATAGTTTCGTCCGCCCATGGGCGGGCAAGGCACTGAATGAGACTTATAAATATATTAGCACGTACATGGACATAATGTTCTACCTATGGTTTTATGGTAAGAACAAAATTTCTGAAGAAATGAAAAACTGACTGAATACTAATCACCGTCATTAGTACTATTTACTAATGCAAGCAAAGTTTATATACACATATAATCTCTACGTTTTTATATCACACGTTCATTTCATACAAGTATGAATACGGTAAGAGCAATTACTAGTAAAAATTTCATTTATTTTTCTTTTTCATTTCCTCCTGAGAAGTTTGTAAAAACACTTTTATTAAATGAAGAGACGTCTTTGATTTTGATTTATTCTTTGCCTCCGCTCTATTTTTTGTTTCGTTTGTTTTTAGAAATTTTGTTATAAAATATTATAGAGCCATCTATCGTTCAATAGCAAATATAATTTATATTTAAAATATTTTCAAAATCTATTATAAATCCTGATTTTTTTCCCAAAGAAAACTAGACCAAAAAAGAAGAAAAAATTAGTACTTATTTCTAAAAATATTTGAAATTGTTAAAAAGTAATGTTATTGATTTTTTATGCTGCCAACATTGTTCTAAAAGATCGCCCACAAAACTGGATCGCCCTCTAGCGGAATTTGTTGTAATCTATCCTTTTGTCTTCTTCAATCCAATATGGCGGTAAACGGCATAAGAACGGTGCAGAATGTTTTGATTTGAATCGTGCCACAAAAAACCTAAAAAACCAACGAAATCTGAAAAAATACGCAATGAACGGCGCGATTGATATAGTGCTGTAATGAGAATGCAATATGTGTAATAACGCGCGCGCTTTGTGTCAGCAATAGTATTAAATTGTGAATTCGCGTGTAAAAGGGATAATATTTGCTAAATGTTGTCGTTAGTGGTGTTGTGTGATAGAAGTTTACGCGCTAGATATGTCTGCCGATGATAAAGACACGACATGTCCGACCACGAGTGAAGAAATATCTGATATTGTGATTAGTAAAAACAACAGTGAGCTAAATAGTGAAATATGTGAGAAAAAGGCGACTAAACTTCCGAGGAAAGTCTCGTTCCCGAAAGAAGAGCAGTTGGTGACACAGTATTTCGAGCCTGCCAACCCTTGGCAAGATGGTGAGTGATACCAAATTTGGGGGAATATAGAATGAACAGTCTTATTAGAATTCCTCTATACTAGATTCACAATTCCTCCTATTAAACTTTTCAGTTAAATATTTGAGGGTACTAAACAATTTTTCTCTTCAAGTTTTTCCCTTTGATATAGGCTGGTACTAATTTTCAGGTCTAATTACAGTCTAGAAATAAACAAAGGATCCATAAAAATACCCTGTTTGTAGGTTGTTACAAATACTTTTTTTAATGCACATGTTATTCATTTTTATTGAAATTAATTTAGTTGCATTAGTTATGTAAACACTTACATTATGCCAAATCAAGTTTTTTGGTTCTTTATTATTGAGGAGCTAGCATAAAAATAAAGTAACAGCCGATCCTATATACATTCCACTCTTGGGTACAGGACTTCACATGCCTTCGAAATCGTTTTTTTTAGACATGCATGTTTCTTCATGATGTTTTTTTTCACCAGCAAGTATATGGTAAGTCAACAGAACTGTGTTAGCTCAGGCATAAAGCTCTCTCTTTAAGTTTCACAGTACGCCAGTAACCTGGTTTCCAACCCAGCTGGCACCAGTGAATAGGTAGCATTAAAAAATATCTGTATATATCTGATATACTTATACTCCATTAAGATTATTTCATTTGAAATGTAGTTAGCATGGCACCTTTATGTCAGTGGTAAGGCACCTTTTCTCTTTTTGAGTCCTTCTTGGTAGGTACCATTCCCTTGCCTGTTATTCTATTTATGTATTTCTGTTATTTAGTAACAGAAAGAGTATTATTTAGTACAAAAATTAATTTTCAATTTTAAACGGTAACATTTTGTGATATGATATTGGGATTCCTAACCTATCTAAGAGTTGATCTGGTAAAATCTCTTTTACCAATTTTTGCCATGCAGCAGTAAACACATGGCTGTATGTGTGCAGTATAATAACAGGTTGTCATGCAATCCATCTTAGTCCTCAGAGGTGAAATGCATCTCTAGGTAACTTTTTGAAGTTGGTAGCATTTGTCCATAGACTGCAGTATCGGTTTACCAACAAGTGAACAGCAATTTTGTCATTTCTAATTTAGTAAAAAAAATTTATAATGAGCTCAGTACTGCAGTACATCAACAAATGTGATGATATTCTGCCAAATAAGTTGTTTTTTGGCACAATTGAGATGTTAAATGTGTGGTCTAAAAAATTATGTAAGAAATGATGAATATGGGTACAGCATAGAGGTGGAATAAGTTGCCAGCATCTGTTTTTTTATCTTATTACAATGTAGGTATCTTAAAGGCAAGGAGTGAATAAGGTTTTGTTAAGTCAGTATGCTTTAGCATCTTTAGCTGTATTACCTCTTACTATAACCAGGCGGGACTGTAGATCACTGGCTTAGAACAGATTAGATTGTATTTTAAATAAACAAGTGGAAAAAATTAAAAATTTTGTACAACCAAATTCAATATAAATGAAATGAGAACATCATCAATGTAGTAAAAGTCAATTAAATACGCATTATTAAGGATAACTCAAAAACTACCTGTCAGATCTTGATCAAATTTATATGAGATCACATAAGAAGCATCAGCTTTCAAATAAAAAAAGAATCATCGAAATCAGTTCACCTAGAAAAAGGTTCTGAGGTAACACACTTAAAAAAATACACTCTTAATCGAATTGAGAACCTCCACCTTTTTTGAAGGTTGGTTGAAAAAGACTACGTTTACTTTCATGTTTACATTTTCATTATTATATTTTATACATGTGAATTACCAGTTAAAAAAAATCCACTTTTAACTGGTGTACTAACCATCTCATGGGTGCTGCAAGTGGCGACAGAAGAAAATGAAACAGTAAATGGGCATTACCACCTTCCTGATTATAACTCAACCCATTCGCCATCCTACCTAATAAGCCTGGGCTGCTAATTAGGCAAATATACCCCTGTAAGGTAAACTATGGGGGGCGGACATGCAGTCAATGACTTTTGATAGGCAAGGTGTGAATGAATAAATAAGATCGTGATGTGGCATTATACCTACAATTCTACTCAATAAGTATTAAATTGATGACCACTCTATTATCTACTTATAATTTTTTTGTGGTATAGCCATGTTGCAGCAATACTATTATGGTTTTAGCATGAATGGGTCAGCTCAGGGAAGAACCATGCTCTCTCAGAATACCAGCATAAAATATCAGCTTTATGCATGTGTTACATATGGTAAGTGTAGAGGTCCAAAAACTCTTTTACTGGAAGTGGGGATTCCCATTTTAGTCATCAGGGGTGAAAACACATCTGCATTTTAATGCTTAATCGAGGATAGATGTAGATGTATATGGACCACAAGATCCACTTACTATCAGATGAACTGCAATATTGTTTATTATTCTATAAAAAAAAAACATTCATAAAAATTATAGGGTTATATTCAGCGTTTTGCTGTGTGAAAGACATTGTCATGAAGATATCCTCAGTAGAACTAGAGTAACAAGCCCAATGGATCAGTGAACTGAAGTGGCCAAGGGAAGGCCATGTAGAATCAAAATGCGTTATTACCTCTTCCACCCCTGAGGACCCTGGGTCTCTGTTTTCTCTATACTCACAATATGAAACAGCAGCATTAAGATGCTTCTTCGTGCTGGCAGTCTGTGAGAGGGTGGTCCTTCCTAAATGAGCTACACTAAACAGCCCACTTGATGGTAATTAGTTACTATAGCCTAATAAGTATGATGCATTGTTACCTGTTAGAACTAAGATGGAATGCCCCACAACCTGTAATCTTACCGACTCTATATGGTTCAAATAGACAAGAAGGTGATATGTACCTATAAATACTCCTAGGCAGAAAAACATTTCTATGTGGCATATATCAAATAGAGCCGTGGTAGGTCAGATGGTTAGCGCTTGCTGTAAATTTCACAGTATGCGAGCAAACCGGGTTCAATCGCTGCCGGCACCAATGAAATTGTTAATTGCAATTTTAAGTGCTGATTTACCACGTGCTCGGCGGTGAAGGAAAACATCGTGAAGAAACCTGCATGTCAGAGAAATAAGAAAAAACAAATACTTCGAAGACATGTGAAGTTCGCCAACACGCATTGGAGTAGCGCGGCGGACAATTCCTTGCCCTAAAACCCTCTCAAAAATGAGCGGAGGCCTGTGCCCACGCTGTGGGACGTGTATAGGCTGTAACTTTACTTTTTTTTAACTTTTATATCAAATTAATATTATAGCAATTCTTTCCTCGTTAACTTAGGCTACAGTCACGGAATACGCATTTTATGATGTACATTTTATGATTGATGGGCTCACCCAGCCTAAATTTTAATAGACACTTTATTCGTTCTTAGCCGAGGGACGTACATGCGTGTTTTATTTGTATAATTCATTCACACATATAACGACGCTGCTGTGTAGTGGCGGTTGAGAATATCCACTACCCCATATCTTCCCGTGGGTGTCGTAAGAGGCGACAGAGGGAGACAGGCAGGAGATGGGCAGCAGCGTCTTCCTGATAACAACTGTGTTATAATAAAAAAACTGCGGTTGCCAACCCGCTCGCCAAGCGTGGCAACTATGGCAAATATCCCCCCATGAATAACGACGCAAAAAAACGGCCCCCAGTCCCCGGCGGCCCCGCTATTCCTGGCTACGGTGGCGACCATGGTAACGGCGGGGCAGGGGGTGCTAAGAATCTCCGGTGGAGGTTCGGTTGCCACCTACGACGACTCGACCTGGCAACATATAACGCACGCACTCTGAGGACTGACGAGAAGATATTGGAGCTGGAAGAAGAGGTAGACAAGTTGCGCTGGCATATTATTGGATTATCCGAGGTCCGAAGAGAGGGGGAGGACACGGCAATCCTCGAGTCCGGCAACTTGTTCTACCACCGGGAGGGCGACCATCTGTCCCAAGGAGGTGTCGGATTTATCGTCCACAAGTCTCACGTCAACAACGTTGTAAAGATTGGGAGTGTGTCGACGAGGGTCGCGTACCTGATACTCAGAATCACCAAACGGTATTCGCTGAAGGTCATACAGGTTTACGCACCAACCTCGGCACATCCCGATCAGGAGGTGGAGGAAATGTATGAGGATATTTCTAGAGCCATGCATTCCTCCAAAACCCACTACACGGTGTTGATGGGAAACTTCAACGCAAAACTAGGCACAAGAGAAAGCGGTGAGCTGAAGGTGGGGAAATTTGGAGTAGGGCAAGGGAACCGAAGGGGCCAGCGGCTGGCCGACTTTATGGAAAAAGAGGGACTCTTTATGATGAACTCTTTCTTCCAGAAGCGGCCCCACAGGAAGTGGACCTGGTCGAGCCCCGACGGTTCGACAAAAAATGAGATTGACTTCATTATGACTACCAGGCGCCAACTGTTCAGTGATGTCTCAGTGATCGCAAGGGTGAAAACTGGCAGCGATCACCGAATGGTTAGAGGCACACTGAACCTAAACGTTAAGTTGGAGAGGTCTCGTCTAATGAAGTCAACGCTCCGTCCCCCTCGTGCTCTAATCCAGAATCCCGAAACCTTTCAGCTCGAGTTACAAAACCGCTTTCAGTGCCTAGAGGATTGCAATGCAGTGGACGAAATGAATGACAAGCTCGTGGAAACTGTCCATGCGGTCGGAGCTAAGTTCTGCAAGACCCGCCGCAGAAGAACACAAAAACTCTCCGATCACACTCTTAATCTCATGGCTGTTAGAACGGGAGATGAGGCTGCAATCGTCAACAGATTTGACAGCATACAGGCAACTGAACAGACAGATCTCCAAATGCATGCGGCGAGACTTACGCAACTTTAATACTGCTCGTATTAAAGAAGCGATCGAGCGGAACCAGGGCTCCAAAGTCTTTGCCAGAGATCTGTCTGCCAGAAAGAGCCAACTGTCAAGGCTGAAGACTGAGTGTGGCAACATCGTTTCCGGGACACATGAGAATCTGAGTGAGATTGAGAGGTTCTATGGGCGGCTATACTCATCATTGTTGGAGCC